GTGCTTTTAGTACAACAGTTGGTATGGCTGACTGGCCGCACGTCTCAAATATATATACCCAGCTGTACTAGCAGACTGCAGTGTACACCTACTATATACTACACATACTCATCAAAGTCCCGGGTGTTTTACTACTGCAAGCTCAGTCCTGTCCTAGGAACTACGGTAAATCTGTTTGAATTTTGCAACTGTAATAAATATTTGTTTTTCTTTGATTCCTAAATTCTCAAATAAACTCATGTTTTCAAATGTTTTTGTACAAATGAAAGAAATGTCCTCATTATTAATGAAAACAAAACGATACTTATTATTTAAACAAATCAGTTTATAAAGTATTGAAAAATCCGGGATATCTACCACTACTGCAGCAAACAATGGATTGCCAACACAATGAAGGCTTACTAATCGTGTGATTTCCGACGTGTGGTACTATGATCATGTTACGTAACCACAACACCGTACTACCTGTACAAATATCTGTGAGCCATAGTAAGCTATCAGGTGGGAGCCTAGCTAGCCCACACTGACCTCGTCTAGTAGTGGTACATACATGTCACATCCTCCTTATCTAGTAGTGGTACATACATGTCACATTCTCCTTATCAATATTTCAACCCGTAAATAATTGATCAGTGACAATTTGTGTGTGGGTCTTTTTGATAAAATGATTGCGTTTTAATTGTAGGGAAGACGGAGGAGCTGTTGAATAATGAAACACTGTTCAAGTTACACTGCAGCGCAGTCAAATATAACAGCTGTCAGAATTGTCAACAACTTGTTTTGCAATAACAAGTTAGATGTAATCTCAATGTTACCTTACAGTTGTAAGTTCATCAGCACCATTCCGATATAGCAGAATTCTTTTGTACTATTATTTTTCTGATCGATTGCAAAAATTGTCGAACAGTATAAGGTTATGCGTTACTGATGATAAAAGCAATGTCCATTCTACACAACAATTATGATGATGAAAACATAACCTATTGCAGGGGTCAATACCTGGTTTTATCAACTTAACAAAAGGTATACAGTACAGTGTCTTTGTATAGATAGATATGAGAATTGAGAAGAAATGTCGGCGGAAATCTCTCGGCGTTCTTCAGTGCAATGTTATGACAGGAATAAAACTGCAGTCTCTACAGTCATTTGATTATATTACACTGCAATGTTTGTATTGTATAGGTACTTGTTATAGGACTTTTATCACTGTCAGCGATCACAATGACTTTACGTACTGTCACTTTCTTCACATCGAGCTACTATACTTATATAACAGTGTCAATTAGAAGCTACCACAGATTTAAAGTAGCAAATATGGAAGAATGTCTGCCTTATTAAACTTTAAAATTACTATCATGCACTATGACAGAAAAACCTTTGTTGATCACCAAGTAATTAACAAGTGGTTACGATTGATGCACCTTATGGACAACACTGTTATATCAATGTATCCAGTGTTATTTCACCATGTATCATTTACATGATACCGCTCTACATTAGGAATATACTTCATTTGGAAACGTATGCATTTGCCTTTGTCTGCATGTCCTTTTAAAACCTAATTTCAAAAGAAACTGAAAAACTGAGCTGGTAATAATTAACGTCAAATATGAAATAACCATGGAGCCTCTGAAATAAAAAGTATAAAGACATGTCTCCAATGAAATCCTGTTTTCATTAGCTCACTACCATTAATGCTACAGTTTCTCTATCTAGACCCATGCAGAGAGAAGAGCACATATGGCCTCCCTGAAAACCTAGATTAGTTATCCAGCCTTCCACCTACGTATTTCATACAGAGATGTTATATGTCATGTACGCACAATGACACAAACCACAAGTATGCTGACAAGCCGTAGCTTGCTCCGAACTTTAGCCCAGTCTGTTTGATGTTGCTGATTTTACTATATACAGAGATATATAGAAATATTTTTGGTTTCGGTATGAATAAATTTGGCAGGTCAATAAAATATATAAGGCACAAATAAGGTCACGACCTCCATAGTTGGGTGATGAGTCACCTTGACACCTGTCTACCCCTTACCACTCAAATGACCAGCGTAGGATAATTCAATCTTCACATGTGTGGCACCTGACCTATAAAACCTTTCAAGACAAGAAATTGAACCGGAGGTCTTTCACTTCCGTTTACTCCTGCTATATGACCTAAATTTTAACCATCCCCTCTTTACACTCTCAAATCAGTAAAGTACATGTGGCAGAAAATTGGCTCCCTTGGCTGGAAATGTCTAGATCCCAAAACTACGTTTGAGGGGCTTTATAAATGTCACTTGTGAGATATAATGGTGAAGTTGATTGAATGTTGTTGGTTTTTTTTTGTGGGGTTTGGGGAGTGAAAAGTTAAAGAAAAAAATGTCAGTCTTATCAACATAAATGGTAACAATATCAGTATTTATCATAATTATACTAAATGTATAATGATAAAAATCTAAGCAATTTTTATCTTAATACTTTACCAGTGACTAAAGTTGTTTTAGAAAGGTTGATTTAAAATTTAAAAGGTTGAGTAGCTATAGTGGATGATGAAACTGGGTGTCACTACGTACCCTTACACTTCGTTCTAACAAAATATTGTCTCCAGTAGTTAGCTGACGATGTGACTGGGTGACTCACCCTTACATCTTGTCACACTAAAACATTGTCTCCAGTGGTTAGCTGACGATGTGACTGGGTGACCACCCTTACATCTTGTCACACTATCATGCCACCTCGCTAGCTGATGATGTGACTGAGTGATTACCCTAACATCTTGTCACACTATCATGCCACCCCGCTAGCTGATGATGTGACTGAGTGATTACCCTAACATCTTGTCACCCTATAATGACACCTCGCTAGCTGATGATGTGACTAAGTGATTACCCTAACATCTTGTCACACTATAATGACACCTCGCTAGCTGATGATGTGACTGGGTTGTATCCTCACACCTTACCAATGCCTGGCAGATACTAGACAGTACATTCCAGTCTCATTGCATACACTTACCTATGAATAATACACCCAGTACACAAACAGGTGAGCAAGGCATTCATCTATAGATCATCAATATTCATATAGAATACCAGTCAATAAGCCATCCTATTACCATGCTTTACCTACTGAAACTAGAAATACCAGAAACACTGGGTCACCGAGTGCGTTGTAGTAGCAGCAATGTTACATGTGTATACAACCACTTAAACCTTTTACCATTAGGTTTGAAAAGATCTGTTTTTATATCTGTCATACATGACACTAGTATAGAATTACCGCAGTACAGTTATAATTAGATTACATACGACAGCTCGGAACATCCTCTATGAGCAGACAAAATGGTGGGGCAGACTAAAATAGACCACATGTTTATTGCTGTTAGGTCACCATCTGTGACAGGATTATCTCTGCTGTGAATGACTTTCACAAATCCCCTAGTCTATTGGATGATTCATTAGTTCATCTGGTCCAATGTATTAATGTATGGACCTAGATCAGTGATCCGTACCATTTGAGAGTGACAATAGGAAAGCTGATAACAAATAATCATAATTCTATTACAGGGTCATCTGCTTACGTCTGCCATAACAGGTCTGGCCAGAGTTTGATCAGATATCTATACTGACCTCACAATCAAATACTTAATCAGTATATGTACTACTGATTTTCATCATGGAAGATGTGAGAATAAAGATTTAAATTAAAATGAAATAAAAGATAACAAAATGAATTATTGAAATTTGATCTATATAAAGGAAAAAGATTATTTGAGATGGAAAAACAAATCAAATTATTGAAATTTCTCATTGCGAAATCAATTAAATTCTTAATACAATTCTTATTAAAAAGTCAGTCAATAGCTGGTTACAAACAGGAATTATAGCTTCTTATCTGGTGACTAATCCAAACACTACTTGGTACATTATACTATATATGTGACAATTGTCCCCTGGTACATTATATTATATATATGACAATTGTCCCCTGGTACATTATACTATATATATGACAATTGTCCCCTGGTACGTTTATCTATTTGTACAGCTGAAGGTGTCTACAGGACATTTAGCCCCTTTACACCTAAGATCACATACTGCATGCTAAAACAAAACATTTTTATTTAAGTAAATGTCAGGAAAATAAATAAATAAAAACTACAAGGCTATCTGAAGGATAATTGGTTAAAGTACACTTGTGCTAATTACTGTTATGTAGATCGCGCCCTTTAGGACTGTAGCCCTCTTTATATAGGACTACTGCATCGTTCTTGTCCAGGTATTTACTCTACTGTAGTAAATAATGAGCGACTTGGAGCATGTCTGGAGAGAGGCTTCCCACTGTTTAGTACCTCCTCAGCTCCAATTATAGTGGCAGGAAGGAAGCAGATCAGCACCAGCTAATGTTTTTGGTAATGAGGTCTCGATAAATGCCATCTAGACAATCTATTTTTGTCAAGCTATGTTTCTAGCTTTAAATGGTTTTTCAGTATTTCTAGAAATAGCATCCACCTTAAACAATGAGGATACCAGGTAACTGACACAGAATCAGCAATGAATTATCACTCCAGCCGCCATTAAAATCAACCGGGTCAACCAGGCATTTCTGGAACCTTTGGTGGCTTTAACACAATTCTGTCTCCAATAAATCCATCTCCAGTTTATCACATGGTATTTTATAAGATATTTTAGATGTGTAATTACACCATTCGGTTAAATGTCAATTCAGATTATACCTAAACTACCTACAGGTATATTGCAATGGTGGTCTTTATCAAAACCAGGTAAGTTTAATACTTACAGGTATCTGTAGTTGTGATTTTCCTTTAGACAAGATGAATTTAACACTTACAAGTATCTGAAGCTGCTATCTTCATTAATACCAGGTAAGTTCAATACCGATTTTGATCTTCGTTAAGACCAGGCAAGTATAATACTTGCAGGTATCGTCAGTTGTAATTTTTGTTTACACTAGATAAAATAAAATAAGATAAAAAAAATACTTACAGGTATCTGTAGTTGTTATCTTTGTTAATACCAAGGAAGTTCAACACAGGTATCTATCTTCGTTAAGACCAGGTAAGTTCTTCCTTTATGTGATTTTAAGGGTTTACAGGTATCCACTGATTGACCAGCTATCAATGGAATATGTTCCATCCACAGGTGAGATACAACAATGATGCTACGACAGGTATGTAGGTAACAGACTGTGGGGTAGCATCACAGGTAACATCGCAGGTGGAAGTGTGACACGACTAGTTACTGTTGCTGTCATAACTCTGCTGGGTTGGGAGACATCAATGTATCCAGCTACTGCTGCTGATTAACATCTTAACTGTCGACTAAGTACCTGTCACAGTCACGTATATGTACAGTCTAACTTCTGGGATGGGCAAACATACAGAAACACCTTTATACTTTAAACATCAGAGTGGTCACTCCCCGACCAACCCACCACTCATAACGACCTTACCACTGGGAGTGGGCTGTATACAACTATAAGGTAACACTAATAGGTTTTACCATGTCTATGATAATGCTGAAGGTGTTACAGTATTCCCTACTTGTATCAGTACATACCAACACAAACAATTTACATCACTATAGTAATATTTGTTAAATACATAATACAGCACATGAGATTTAAGTTTGTAGGACGATTCTAATTCTCCACCACCAATTTATAAACAGTATGATCAAATAGGATGTGTATTGGTCTCTGGCCTATTCAACGTGGGAGGGTGTAAGGTTACAGGGATATGTACTACGAATGCACACAAACGCAGCATGTGAATTATTACATCATCATGATGTAAAAAGGTCCTTCACCTTGAAAAATAAGAACTAGGTGACATCACCGAATTGTTTCAAATATTTTAGCCCGATGATTTCATGGCTCTATCACTGTGTGGTACGGCATAACATCTGTGTCAGAGCTCGTAGTAGGTGAGGGATATATATAACCGCCTGTATAATTTACTGTTATATTGTACATAACAATGCCTATTGAAATGATCAAACTCAAAATGTAATTATGGAACTAATTTGTAAACAAACCTTTACCACATTACGTCTAACATGAGATGTCGACACACATTTTTCCTACACACTTAATTATTGCTAGCTTGGATTATTATCACGTGGAGGTCTCTGATCTGCGATATTGACTCATTGTTACTATTTTTAGAAACAACAGGTCAATATGCACTTTATGATGTCATTTCAATTGTAACATCATAATGCAGAACTTTAAAAATACTCCATTAAGTTTTTCTTTCATATGATCCATCTTGTTTAATTATAATAACTTTTATTTTGGTGAATATGAAATAGTGGTTATATGGACCTGAGAAAGTGATATTGGCTTTATCTTGGTTACGTCACCTTTTTAGGTCAATATAACCACATATTCACTCCCTAGATCTTAACAGGTAAATATTCACTCCCTAGATCTTAACAGGTAAATATTCATTCCCTAGATCTTAACAGGTAAATATTCACTCCCTAGATCTTAACAGGTAAATATTCACTCCCTAGATCTTAACAGGTAAGTATTCACTCCCTAGATCTTAACAGGTAAGTATTCACTCCCTAGATCTTAACAGGTAAATATTCACTCCCTAGATCTTAACAGGTAAATATATTCACTCCCTAGATCTTAACAGGTAAGTTCACTCCCTAGATCTTAACAGGTAAATATATTCACTCCCTTTTATCCATTCAAACTCCTTTAATGTTGGCAAAATTTCTGTGTACAGGACAGTGTTGTTGACAAATATTTGACTGTATACAAAGGCACACTTGTATTTTGTTACCACCCACAAAAACCTAAAAACAAATTGTTTACAACTGTCAGATGGTGATGGGGTTAATTTTGTTGACGGCTATAGGGAGAAGCCCCACCTGTAAGCAAAAACGAGCCCACATCCCACCTTCACCTGCACCAATCAAATGTCTTTACCTGAACCTCATTTTACCTGCACCAATCAAATCAGTTTTCCTAGACCTTATTGAGTTGTACCGTTATGAGAGTGAGAGTTTCAGGTACGATAGTGGGTCGTGTCATCCTGAAACACCAGGTAAAATACACAACCTATAATCATGACATCTCGTAATCTACCGTAAAACCACACAAACTACACGACATCTCGTAATCTACTGTAAAACCACAAAAACTACCCGACATCTCGTAATCTACTGTAAAACCACACAAACTACACGACATCTCGTAATCTACTGTAAAACCAAACAAACTACACCACATCTCGTAATCTACCATAAAACCACACAAACTACACGACATCTCGTAATCTACTGTAAAACCACACAAACTACACGACATCTCGTAATCTACCATAAAACCACACAAACTACA